TAAGCCCTTGCGTGAAATTCCGCCTATCAAATTGACAGATGATGAACGATAATAACCTAGTTTGTGCGATTTCTTTAGTTTCTTGACTGCAGAGGGAAAAAAAAAATTAAGATTATGGACCAAACTGATACAAACTTCATATTTCATAAACCAACACTAAATCTAGCTGAATTAAAATCATAAATTCCAGTTTAAAGGATTCTTTTCTCAGACAATTAAACACGCTAAGTCACTTCAAACTTAGTAATTAACTCCAAAAATTAGCCATACATTGTTCAAATAAAGATTAAGAGACCACGCTTAGACGACAATAGAACTGACCATAATTTAACACGAGGAGAAATGTTTCTCCCACACATAAAATACACAAGGTGTAAGAGAATCTTGTGATGTCCTGCTAGTTTGGCCTGATCTCCATGCCTTGAATAATGACACCGCACTTTCTCTCGTAACCCCCCGGCTGAAGATGTATTTCCAAATCTCCGCCTCTTTCTTTGGTGAATTCAATTTCACCCAATTCTACCTCAAACCAATTATCTCCCCTCTCTTTCGGGTACTGATCACCATTTCCTACAATTCCACCTTCTGCCTGCACGTACACTACTCGCTTTGAAACTTCAGCTCCTCCAAGTAGAACAGCAGCTTCTATAGGTGTATTTTCAAATCCTTCAGGTTTGTGCGCTAGCTTGAACACAAGGTAAGCCTTATAACGTGTTTTTGGAGAAAGCATACGAGTATTAATCCTTCCATGGATTACAAACTCCCAAGTATAAAGAAGCTCTGCAACCTCAGGGAACCTGTTTGTAAGCATGAATTAGAAATATTCTTATGATCACAAATTTATTTATTTTAGGCTGGGAAAGAGACTTAAACAATCAAGTGTCCATTTGCTTGAATTCTTTTAGTTGTAGGTGTGGGTATGAGTGTGTGCGTTGCGTTGTGTGTGTGTGAGAGAGAGACCAACCTGGGATCAGGTTTGAACCACTTCCAACACCCAGAATCATCGTCACCGTAAAGTACGAGGTGGCTGGCAGGTAGCAGGTAACATAACCTCCCACTCCTTTTGTATAAAAAAATTCTCTGTGCAATGAAGGTGATATGATTAAAGACTCAAGTGAAAGAGGAACCGAAGGATCCATAAACGTAATCATCATTAATTATTTATATTCCCAACAAGAAGATAATCCTCTGACAAGCATAGTCCAGGAAAAGAAACATTGAATACATAGGCCACATCCATTGAGTTTTGTAAAATTTCTATAAGCAATAATCTTTGTAGTTACCTGCTGTATAGACATAAATTCAGGACTACTAGCAGAAAGGAAATTTATATCAAGTCACAGCTACCCTAAAAGATGTACAAGTACTTTCTAAAGTTAGTAAAAATGTGTTAAATTATAAAGATGAAAAATTATATCAACTTGTATTCAATTTGTCAAGTAACACATTTTGTTTCGATTTAATCAGTTATAAAATACAAAATTCAAAACAGAGAGTAATACGTGGTATATATTAACAAGAATTGTTTGGTTTTTAATTTAAAATTTGGAAATGAAAACATATGCAGATTTTGAATATTTATTAATTTATGTTTTAAAAATCAGAAAAATATATATTACCACGAAAAGAAAAGAGAAAAAA